CCTGCTCCACCAAGTTAGTGTAAAATGCAGGGTCCACAGATGGGAGCATGCTCCACCAAGTTAGTGTAAAATGCAGGGTCCACAGATGGGAGCCTGCTCCACCCTGACTAATGGCCAGAGTCTGAGCTTATTTTCACTCTTTCAAAGTTGTGACAGCAGGTGTGGCTACAAACAAGAAACCCTGACCTAGGGTGTGGTTACTTGGTGTTTTGGACATTAAGATGGCTCATAGAGGTGGATCCAAAGGTCAAAGAATTCAAGTCTATTCCTGCCCCTTCATTTTAGAACAGGAGGTTTGACATAGGGAGGGGCTGCCTACAGGATTCTTGGTCTAGGGTTTATTCGCTGCATACCCTGCCCAAAATATCAGAATGCTAACTCAGGAAATAGTGACTTGATGTCTCAAGTGTCATGTCCATTGTGCGTCATGTTAAAGCAGTCTTTTGCCTTCTCCACCCTTTTTGTATTGGGATATATAAGCGTATGGAAAACAAATGTGGGCAGATTCAGTAGTCAGTATTCAGAGTTGCCCTCCTGGCACTATCCTATGATTCTGTATTTCTTTTGTGTCTCTGTCTATCCTGCCTAGCATTTCTAATCCCCAGACTCTTACCCTGGAACGTAACCAGACAAGCTCCCCGACAGAAAAAGACGGAGGTTTTTCTTTCCTATGGAGCTTTGGCTGGTCTGAAACTATGTAGACCAAGCTGGCCTCAAACTAACAGAGATCCACCTGCCTCTGCCTTCTGAGTGCTGGGATTAAAGGAGTATACCACAGCTTGCCCAAGAGGTAAGATTTTAGGACTAGTAATTACCAAGCCACCCTTGGGTGAGGCACCAGTTATAGTATTCCGAGCAAAGGAGCTGCATGAGCCCAAGAACTGGCCAACTGAAGAGAGGAAATAAGACAGCACCTTTGTCTGTCTTCATACCCTGATGTTCCCTGACTCCACAACTGGGCGGATGAGTCATGCCAGCTGTTTGAGTCCATTCAAAGTCTCTGGCAGGGCAGTATTTATCACTGCATGCCCCAAAAAACCATGTACAAAACATCAACAGGCAGTGAAGAAGACATATTGTATGCATGGGGTTAGGGGTGGAGAGAGAACAAGTCGGGAGGAGTACGCAGCACAGAAACCGCAGTCCTCAGCGCTCTGCCAGCCAGGACTGCAGCAGGCTGGCTACTTTGGGATGCTTGCACACATATCTGGTCATCCTATTGTTATAGGAAGCCATGACAAAGGTCCAAGATACACAGTTGTGGCAAACAAATAATTCCTGATCTACAGAAGCAGTGCTGTGAGAGACGAGCCAGGCGTTCTGTGGGCCAGAGAGGCGAATGGCAGAGAGGTTCAGTGTCCCGAGAGAGCAACCACACCTATGCTTCCCCATGCGGTTGCTTTGCTGCAGCATGCACTGCAGCTAAAAGGCTCTGGGTCAGTCAGTCAACAACAGTCTTCGAGAATTCCCAAGGGGCACCGGCTTTCAAAATGGAAGGCCATGCTCATGTTGAAGCAAGAGCAATGTTGCAGCTATCCTAAGTGGGGGGAGGGAACCAGAGGACTGGCTATGCTGGGGAATGACACCGACACTTAATTTCTTTGGACCTCAGTTAGCCCAATGTAAAACTCCACCGGATCTGTTCCTGTGCTCTACTCACTATGTGCTATGGGAACTAGGCTGAAAATTAAAAAAAAAATATGCACACAGAACAGAGACAGACAGGGCCACGGGGACATCCTTGAGACAAGAGTGCCAAGAATGCCCCTTTTCTATATAATTATGGGCGATCTGTCAGGGATCCATAGTTCCTGATCTCCCCAGGAGCCTCTACTTGTAAAGCACCATGTCTGTACTGCATGGAGGCTACACCTATCACCCTGTGCCACTGCAAGATGGTACGCAAGCCAGGAACTAAGCTGGAGACTTACAAACACATGCACACAGACACGGACATGGGGACACAGGTCACTCCTGATACAAGAGTGCCAATGCCAACTTTACTGTGCTCAGGGACAGCTTAGATAGGGCTCTGGCCACGCCCCAGCTCTCGGGATCTTTCAGCTGTAGACCCACCAGCCTGCCGTCAGGGTCTCGTGCTCAGAGCAGCTGCAAACACAGGAAAAACAAGCTGCTCACAGGGAATCCAGGGTTTGGGGGTCCATAGCCCCCAACAGCTCCCAACAGCCCCTGCTCATTTGCCTGACAGTTTTCTAAGAGAAAACTCCAAAACCTCCAGGGTCAGGCCTGGGCTCCAACCACTTTTTCATCACAACTCACTTCAATTAAGGTGGGGGCACTGAGTTAAACTAACCACAGTCCCAAAGGCAGGGGCACCAAAAGAACAGACTCAACATTGAAGTAGGTCAGGGGATCAAGAGGGCTTTTGTGGCCTTGACCTTGGCTTCAGGGGCCTCACACTCTTTTCTCACTCATTTGACCCAGGCAGTCTGGCAGGAGGTTATATTCTTCAGGCACAGGAGTAATAGCTGCTCAGTGTCACCACTTGACAGGAGTGATGGGGGAGGAGAAAAGGCCACTGTGTTCTCCCTCCAGTCCTCCGTGTGGAGGAGGATGCTGTCCGACAGAGTACTGCCTTGGAATCTTCAAGTGCTTTCTATGCTAAACTTTGACACTGTTGTTGGGAGTGTGGCCAAAGACTGCACAGGAATCAGTATACATTCCAAGTCACCTGGACAGTCATCTTGAGAAGATGCCTGTGGTAACACGGTGGGAAGATGTCTATGGTAACACGATGGGAAGATGTCTATGGTAACATGGTGGGAAGATGTCTATGGTAACACGGTGGGAAGAAGATGTCTATGGTAACACGGTGAGAAGATGTCTATGGTAACACGGTGAAAAGAAGATGTCTATGGTAACACGGTGGGAAGAAGATGTCTATGGTAACACGGTGAGGAGAAGATGTCTATGGTAACACGGTGGGAAGAAGATGTCTATGGTAACACGGTGAGGAGAAGATGTCTATGGTAACACGGTGGGAAGATGTCTATGGTAACACGGTGGGAAGATGTCTATGGTAA